TTATGAACTTAAAAACAAATGCCGACTTTGAGACTTTTGTCTCTTGTGAGTTGAACTGGCCTGAGTAAGCCCAGTGAGTGTGGAAGAGCAGACCCTCAGCAGTGGAAACTTCACCGAGAGATGACTGCCCCGCAGAACAGGGGACTCCCTACCCCCAGACCTCAATGTCCACAAGGCTCATCATTAGACATTTAAGAAAACTTTATGCATGTTTTTTTAAATTTAAGTAGCTTTTAAATACACAATAAGTTACAGCTAGCAATCTATTAAACAGATTTAAAGGAAACCAAAATAGAATATATGCATTCCATAAACTAATATGAAATCACAATTAGAAAATAATTACTTTTATTAAAACCAGCTCTGCACAATATATGCAGGAATTAAAGCCTGATCTTTTTCAAAAAGTTAACATTATTTTAGTTAAATGAATTCACAATGCTTATCACAGTGAATACAATCTGCCTTGCTGTTTTCAATGTTTTATACTTTCTATGATTGAAATAGAAGTATGTATTCAAATAATGTCAATTATATGACAAGAAAAACCTTAAAAGTTATTTCTTCTTCATAAAAACAACAACAACTGTGGAAGATAATGGGTTAATATTCTTAATAATCAAAGAGTTCTTAAAAAACAATTTTTAAAAACCTAAACCTATGAGAAAATTGGCCTAAGAAATTCACAAAAAAGAACTACAAATGGCCAAGAATACTAAGGAAAATATTCAGCCTCATCAGAAACACAAATTAAAACAAGATACCAGATTAGCAAAGTTATTTTTTTAAGTCTTAATTAAAAAGTTGTCAAGGATTTGTTAAAATGAGTACTGTCATACACTGTTGATGGGAATGTAAATTGTTACAACTGTTTAAAAGAGAATCTTGGTAACTGAAAATTTTAAAGATTTAACTCTTTTTGTCATAGAAATTTATTCTAAAGAAATAACTACACAAACACCCAAAGATTTGCATATATACAAGAATGTTCATCAGAATAGAAAAAAAAATTGTAACCACTCACAGAATAGTGAAATGATTTATGAAACCATCATAAAATACTGAAGAATATTTAATAATATAGAAAAACAGAATGCCAAATGGAGAAAAACAAGGAATAAAACTTTATACAGTATGATCTAATTTTTGTAAAAATGTGAAATGGGTGCGTGTGTGTACGTGTGTGTGTGTATGAATTGATTAACCCTTTAAAAAAAGAGAAAAGACTGAAATGAAATACCTAAATTATTAACTGAGTAGTCTAGAGGGTAGTATTACTAGTAGTTTGTATTGATTTATCTTAACTTTTATCTCTGTTTTCTACATACGTTACACTGAATATCTGTTTGTTTCAAACTCAAGAGGAAAATATAAAATTTTTTTAAAACTGAAAGAAAAGAAACTAGATTTACTCTAGCAGTTTTAAAATAAGTTTCCCATTAGAAAAGAAAGCTTCTGGAAAGCTAAAGATACACAAAGAATAGAATTAATTCTTGCCTTTATGATTAGCATACATTTAAATAGAATCTAATTACAATCACTCACTGAATAACAACATTTTGGTCACACAGTGGACTGCATACATGGCAGTGGTCCCATAAGGTTCTAATGGAGATGAAAAATTCCTGTCACCTAGTGATGTCATAACCCATCATGTTGTAGCATTACAGCATTACACACATCACTCCCATGCTTGTGGTGATGCTGGTGTAAACAAACCTACTGCACTGCCAGTCACATATAAGTATAGCACATACGGTTTTATGTACAGTACACAATACTTGATAATAATAATAAACGACTAGGTTACCATATTATGTGTTTACTATACTATACTTTTCATTGTTATTTTACAGTATTCCTTCTGCTTCTATATGAAAAAAAGTTAACTGTACAACAGCCTTGGGCAGGTCCTTCAGAAGGCATTCCAGAAGAAGGCATTGTTATCATACCATGCATGTTATTGCCCCAGAAGGCTTTCCAGTGGGACAAGCTGTGGAGGTGGAAGACAGTGATACCGATGACACTCACCCTGTGTAAGCCTAGGCTAACGTGTGTGTTTGTGTCTTAATTTTTAATAAAAACGTTTGAAAACTAAAAGTTAAAAATAGAAAAAAGTTTATAGAATAAAGATATTAAAAAAAAAAATGGCTGGGCATGGTGGCTCACACCTGTAATCTCAGCACTTTGAAAAGCCAAAGTGGGTGGATCACCTGAGGTCAGGAGTTCAAGACCAGCCTGACCAACATGGTGAAACCCCGTCTCTACTAAAAATACAAAAATTAGCTGGGCGTGGTGGGGGCGCCTGTAATCCCAGCTACTCAGGAGGCTGAGGCAGGAGAATCACTTGAATCTAAGAGGTGGAGGTTGCAGTGAGCTGAGATCACACCACTGCACTCCAGCCTGGGTGACAAGAGTGAGACTCTGCCTCAGAAAACAAATCAAAACCAAAAATTTGTACAGCTGTATAATGTATTTGTGTTTTAAGCTAAGTGTTACTACAAAAATGTCCAAAAGTTAAAAAAATTAAGTTCATAAAGTAAAAACATTACAGTAAGAGGTTAATTTATTATTGAAAAGGATTACATTTTCATAAATTTAGTGTAGCCAAGTGTATGGTGTTTATAGTCTGCAGTAGTGAACACTAAAGTCTGAGGCCTTCACACTCACTCTCCACTCACTCACTGACTCACCCAGAGCAACCCCCAGCCCTGCATGTTCCATTCATGGTAAGTGCCCTATACAGGTGACCATTTTCTATCTTTTATACCATATTATTGCTGCATCTTCTCTACGTTCAGATATGTCCAGATACACAAATACTTACCATTGTGTTACCACAGCAGTCAGTACAGTACCATGCTGTATAGGTTTGTAGCTGAGGAGCAACAGGTCACATCATATAGCTTGGTTGTGAAGGAGGCTATGCCATCTAAGTTTGTCCAAGTACACTCTGCGATGTTCACACAACAAGGAAATCACCTAATGGTGCATTCTCAGAACATATCACCATCCTTAAGTGATGCATGACTGTATTCAAATGCTTATATACCAGTTGGTTCATTTAACAAAAGTATTTGTGCGTAAGATGTGTAAGATTTTGTATAGAACCCAAAGATGAGTAAGACATAGACTTGCTTTCAAACTGCAAAGTCATACACGAACAGTTATAGTGTTGAACAGGCTCTTCTGAGAACTGAATTTCTAATAACTGGTCCTATAAAGGAACTACACAAGACAGCATAGAAAGTCGGAAAATCTGAATTATTCTCCCCTTGCAACTTTATCCGACAGAATTCCTACACTGCAATTCTTTCTACAATCCCCTAAAAGGATAAGGAGAAGGGCATAGAGAAAAGTCATTCAACACCCACTCACTGAATAACAATCACCTGTAAACACCACGCTGTAACCCTCAATCCAAACGCAGGTCCTGAATTTCCTCTTTCAATCCCAAAGATTTAGGATAAGACCTGGGTTGTGTGTATCTTTATTCACTTTGGGGGAAAATCTTTGGTACCAGTATCTAGGGTTTCTCAGCTACTTGTCTCTAATGAGTTAAAATAATTCCACAAAACTTGAAAGCAGGAAAATTCTCTAAAATGTGAAACCAAAGAATCCTGACATGACCTAACTGCCAGTCCCCAATTATATATCAAATGAAAAACTATACCGGTTCAATGAAAAAACAATGATTGGTGAAAAGTGTCCCCTTATTTAGCGAAAAGATCTTGGGCAATTAACTCTGAGGCGGGCTAATTCCATCATTGAAAAATAACAGAAAAAAGAGAAAAGAGAAAAGATGCGTTTTTATAGTTCTCCTAAAAACATCTTACCTTACAGCAAAGAAGAAACAGAGACTAAATAAAGCCTGGGAAAATGGACAAGACCAGCTGGGTATCAGTTCAGATGTGTGCTTAATAAATGTTTCCAATGATGATTAGATGATGGGTTTTTATAGCCACTGCTCAATATTTAAGTTTCTCATGGCCGGGCGCGGTGGCTCAAGCCTGTAATCCCAGCACTTTGGGAGGCCGAGACGGGCTGATCACGAGGTCAGGAGATCGAGACCATCCTGGCGAACACGGTGAAACCCCGTCTCTACTAAAAAAAATACAAAAAACTAGCCGGGCGAGGTAGCGGGCGCCTGTAGTCCCAGCTACTCGGGAGGCTGAGGCAGGAGAATGGCGTGAATCCGGGAGGCGGAGCTTGCAGTGAGCAGAGATCGCGCCACTGCACTCCAGCCTGGGCGACAGAGCGAGACTCCGTCTCAAAAAAAAAAAAAAAAGTTTCTCATTACTGATCCTGATATTATTGTCTTTTTCCCTCGCAAAATGGTAGAAGGTATTAACTGTACAAACATGGCCAAAAGCTAATGTTTCAAAGCACACCATGTGAGGACAAAAAGAAACAGAACCAACTCTGAAGCTGACAGTGCAAGAAGGAAACAATTCTAATCCCCTGGAGAACGTGAACACCATCACTGCCAGGTGATTTCAGGGACTCTTTTAACACACGGTATCCTTTGAAACTCATATTCTCCATAATTAATCCATTTGTTTCTAAAATGATACTTAATCCCTGTAATGGATTCCAGGACTTCCTCCTGCTGTTCTAACAGTAGACTTGATTATTCACACTCACTTCACAAATCCTGTTTCCCGCTCTGTCCTCTTAGCCGAGAGATACACAGAAGGAAAATAACAACAGCAGCAATTTGTATTAGGACCTTACGGCATGCACTGAGCTAAATGCTTTATGCACACTAACAAACATAGGAAAGAGGTACCATTATCATTATCCTCAAGATGAGCACTCTAAAGCTTAGGGGGATTAGAAAACTTGCCCAAGACTTCAAAACTAATAAGAGGCAGAATTAGGATTCAAACCTGGGCTGTCTGCATCCAGAGCCTACACCTTCCAACCACCTGGATTCAGGGATTGGTTAAATCTAAGAGGAAGCCACTGCATGTTCCCAAAGTCTGTAAAGGCGCACTCACCTGCCCCGTCAGGAGTGATGGTTCCCAGTTTCACGGCTAGTGGGTAGCCCATGTCTCTGTAATGCTCCAGCGCATGCCCATTGCCCCCAGAGCTGTCAAAGAACCACTTTCCACATAGGACAGAGCCGTCAGTCAGATTCAACCAGAGGTTTTCTCGCAGGTCGCATCTGGCACACTTCCAACCACTAGAAAGCCATTGGAGAGTAGTCAGAACAGCCAGAGCATAATTTTAAAAATCAACATCTAAGAAAACAGATGGTTTCAGGTAGGCAGGTCACAACAAAGGCTCAGTGAAGTAACAGAGACTGGTGCTTCCCCATTTTCTCCCCTCAAGACATTGTTGGACAGGCGTGGTGGTTCACACCTGTAACCCCAGCACTTTGGGAGGCCGAGGCAGGCGGATCACCTGAGGTCAGGAGTTCGAGACCAGCCTAGATAACATGGAGAAACTCCATCTCTGTTAAAAATATAAAAATTAGCCAGGTATGGTGGTGGGCACCTGTAATTCCAGCTACTCAGGAGGCTGAGGTAAGGAGAACTGCTTGAACCTGAGAGGCGGAGGTTGCAGTGGGCCAGGATTGCGCCAGTGCACTCCAGCCTGGGTGACAGACCAAGACTCTGTCTCAAAAAAAAAAAAAAATTATTGTTTCTCTCCCAGAGTAGCAGGATCACTCAGCACCCTGCCTGCCTCCCAGATGTGGATTAGCCCCTCCCAGCATCTCCAAGTGGCCTTTTTTACTTTTGAAAACTGACACAAAACTTCGGGCTAGGAGAGGAGCTCATTTCCTTAAAATTCCTCCATGAGGGACCGTGGAGCTTGAACAAGTTTAAAATATTAAGGATCCTGTGTGTATAAATGTCTAAAGTTCTAAAGCATTAATCACATACAGTAAAGCTAGTTTATACAAATCCGACTACAATGCAAATCTAAATTAATTGGAAAGGAGACCAACTCGACTAAAAGCTAAATGTCAACTATATGCCAAGTACCTTACAGAAGTCTCATCATTTAATTCTAACAAACACCTTTCAGCATCAGTATTACCATCTCTATTTTTACAAACGGAGAAACGGAGATCCAGAAGTAACTCTCGTTTCCAAAGACCACACAGAAGGCGAATGCCGTGCAATTGTCAGGATTCAACCAAATCAGACACATTCCTAATCAATCTGCCTATCCACCAATACCTGTCTCTCTAAACACACTGGCACCTAATAAGAGGAGATACGAATGGAGCCCAAAGAGTATTCCAGCCAAAATGTTAAAACCAAAGACTTGTAAGTTGGATTGCCCTAAAACAAGACTCTGAGACAAAAAAGTGAAGGTAAATGGCTTCTCTGGGAGGTGATCCCAGGGAAGTGGGGAAGAGAGACAAGCAAGGGTAGGAAGCTGCTACAGGATAGGTCAGTGAGCAAATGTATACTGTGGGTGACTGGGGCTCAGGCCACGTGGGGAACTGCAAGAGACAGATATCCCACCTGGAGGGGCAGAAAACTGGGGTATGAATCCACCCATGCCACAGTCGCTGGTTTAGGGCTGCTCCAGGACGAGGGAGGGAGCTTCACTCTGGTGTTTCTGACTGTCCCATGCACCGGCCTAACTGACTTCAGCAAGCAGAAAAAGCTCTCAAGCAAGCAAAGGGTTGCAAGTGCTTGCAACTGGCAGCTTCAGGGCAGGGAAGGGCTTAGGGGTATGGACTGGGCATATTCAGCACCTACTACAAAGCTACAGACAATTTTAGAGAAAAGTTTTATATTTACTTTTAATAAAAGGCATCTGGTAAGAAAAAATATAACTGCCAATTCAAAAAAGAGGTAGAAAACAAATATTCCTTTGGCCAGTTTTAGGGAGTAAAGTTCCATTCTGCTATTTGACTCTCACCTTGGAGGAATCCTGACGCCATTGTCCAGTTGGGTGAGGTTGTTGGCATATTTAGATACTGGCAATTCATTTTCCCACGTGTCTGGGTCTTGCTTTCTGTATGGAGATTTTGAGCTGAGAACTGCATCACAAGCAATTGTTACCTATAAGACAAACCCAGATGTAATATATAAAAACAGTTTGGGAAAATAACAATTTGCTAGTGAATAGCAAATTCACTACAATGTGAATTTAAAAACTGAAGAAATGCAAACAGCACAAGTGTCACAAGAGAGAGATCCTGTCTTCCTGCACTTCCCCTGGATCGAGCTAGGTTTTGTCCCTGGCCTAGTGTTTGTAGTATTGACAATGGCACAGATAGCAAGAAACTAAATTCATTTTCTAAGCCCAAGCTTAGAGGTCAGATTTAACAATTCCTACCACTTAGCAAGCAGGGTGAAAAGTAGGAGGTGAACAATTTGCAAGGGTGAAATTAGATACAGGAATGCCCAGGATTTACCCAAGTGGTGTGTTTTCCTCATAACAAATGTACACTCAGATATCCAATATCCTCAACTCATCACACAATGGCATGTGGTCAAGGGCACTTGAATGGAATGTAAGCAGCATGGCTCCATTTCTTAATCTGGTGCAAATGTGACCCTGGACAGGGACATGCCTGGGTGTCTCTGTGCCAGATTAGTCCACATCATGAGCAAATCTGTGATGTCCTGCTCAGCACCAACTGACCACAGGGGAGGAGGAAAACAGACTCTGCCCTCTCCCTACCCGATTAATTCTGGCCATATGCCTATGACCCAATGTGCTATTGGCTTAATGCTATAAGCTGTTTCTAGCTGTCTTTTAAGAACTTATATTCTGGTTGCAAAGTAAACTGGTACAGCCGCTTCGGAAAACAGTTCAGTAATTCATCAAATGGTTAAACACAGTTATCGTATGACCCAGCCATTCTACCATAGGTATATACCCAAGAGAAATGAAAATATGTGTCCACACAAAAACGTATACACAATTGTTCATAACAGCATTATTTATATTAGTCAAAAAAATGGGGCTGGGCACAGTGGCTCACACCTGTAATCCCAGCACTTTGGGAGGCTGAGACCAGCAGATAACTTGAGGTCAGGAGTTCGAGATCAGCCTGGCTAACATGGTGAAACCCTATCTCTACCAAAAATACCAAAATTAGCCAGGCGTGGTGGCATGCTCCTGTAGTCCCAGCTACTCAGGAGGCTGAGGCAGGAGGATTGCTTGAGCCTGGGAGGCGGAGGCTGTAGTGAGCTGAGAACGCACCATTGCACACAACCTGGGCAACAGGACAGAAACCCTTTCTCAAAAAAAATTTTTTTAATAAAAAATAAAAATAATGGGAACAACCCAAATGCCTATGGATATAACAAATAGAATGTAAAATAAAATGTTATATTACATACAATGGAAATTTATTTGCCAATAAAAAGGAATGAAATATTGATACATGCTACAATATAAATAAACTTTGAAAATATATTCTAAGTGAAAAAGCCAGTCACAAATAGCAACATATTACATGACTCCATTTATGTGAAATGTCCACAGTAGACAAATCTATAGAGATAGAAAGTAGATTAGTGAGTGCCACAGGCTCAGCATGGAGGAAGGGTTGGAGGATGATGGCTAAGGGGTATGGGTTTTTTAGTGGGGCAAGAGAAATCTTCTAAAATTAGACAGTGGTGATGGATGCCCAACTCTAATATAATAAATGCCACTAAATTGTAAAAAATAAATAAACAGCAAAATTTGTAATCTACATCACTAATATCCTGCATAATGAGCTGATCGTTTTCCCCTGAGTCACAGTTTCCCATGTGTCTGGGTCCTGGCTTCTGACCCTAGAACCAAGGAAGGAACAAGAAACAATGGAGTAAGTTCCCTCAGCTGCCATTTCTCCCCCACCTAGCCCACAGGCAATTCCTAGCAGCCCTGTGATGTAGGAATCGGCCTCGTGTCCACTCCAACTCCATCCCTCCTGGTCCTAGCCACCATCATGGTTCCCCCATAGCTACACAACAGCCTCCTTACCGTGGTCTTCCCTCTAGCCCTGCCCCTCTTCTTTGCACAGCAGCCAGAGTGATCTGCTGTGAAAATTATATCCTATCCTTCTCCAGCTTAAAACTCTTATACTGACCACTGCTGATTGATGACAGGAGGAGGTCCCCGGCCTCAACAAGCTTATGATCCATTAGAGATCAGGACTTAATAAATATAGTTAAGCCTTTCAAAAGAGATCCTTCCATTTGTCTCCCATTACAAATGCTGTTGTATAATTAGTTTGTTTTTTTCCATTTTGAAAACTCATCCCCTATCACCTTCCAGAAATGCCCATAGAAAATAGAGCTGGGTTCACCACAAGCCCCCTCCAGGCTTTATGGGCTTGGGACATGCCACCTTAGCACTTCTGGCCAGGACTTCTTCCTTGTTCCTGACTGTGAGTAGCCCAGTGTCACTGGTCAGTAGTGTTGAGAGTTTTAAGCTGGAGAAGGATAGGATCACACTGGATGCTGTGCAGGGAAGAGGGCAGGCGTGGAAGAAAGACCACAGTAAGGAGGCTGTTGTGTAGCCTCCTAATCTTTTGAGTCTGACCTATTATAACCTCCTTGTTTGTTTCATCAACTACCCAAATCAAGTCTGTGTCCTCCTTAGGACTGTCTCCACCCCTACTAGATCTTTTATAACCGTTCTGGTTTGCAGTGCACTATGACTCTGAACAAAACTCAAATAGAATCTTCTCCTTTATCCTTGAATATCTTTCTGGGTGACAACCAACAAAATGTCCTTAGACTTCTGGGCCTATAAAACACTGATCCAGGGTTTTCAGAATATCATCCAAAATCACCTAAAGGCCCTTTTTATGGGTGACAGCTGAAGGTCAGGATCCATCATCCTGTAATCACACTGTGAACTATTTTTCCCTGGATATGTTATCTGAAGTGATGCGAAAAGACCTTGGTACTAGTCCTGGCTCCATCCCAAGCCATCGTAAGCTTCCAGTTCAGTTCTGCACTGGAACTGTCTCAAACTGGCTCATAAGAGTCCAGCTTTAAATTTTACAAAATTCAGCAAGATGGTTGCTAAACACAGCCATTATAAAACATTAAATCATATAAACTTACAACTAAATAAAATGTTTTCAAAAGGTGACATATAATCAAAAATTCTTCACTTCCTAATTGTTTTACTGTATCTCATTATTATCTATGTGCCCTTGAGGTTTTATTTACATTCACATCAGTGGAATGCTGGAAATTCTGTATCATGGTCTGCTACTACCACTCTTTCCAACACCCCATTCAGTGATGTCACATTGACAGCCTGAAATCAGTCATGGTGGGAGTATTTACACCATGGAATCAGCAGACACTACAAAACAGGGCTTTTTTTTTTCCTAGGGAGCCTGTTGTTAAACATTTACAAGCACACCACTGCTCCAATTCCTGCTGTCAAAAATGAAGGCATTGGATTTCAAGCTCTAAGACCCCTGCTGAGCTCACAGTGCTATGTCTCTGTGAACCCAGCATCACCCAGAGGTGCTTTAACTTTCTGGTAGAACCTACAGAGTCACTCTCTGAAACTGAAATTCTTCTGTGCTAAGACACTCAAAAGGTGAAGGAAGAATCACCTGGTTCGACGTTTTGAGCTCAATGATTTTTGTTATTTAACAGTTTAAAAAGAGAATTGTCAAACACCAAAAATATAGCAAAAGCATGAAAAGAAAATATAGTAACTGGCATCTTCTATGTAGATAAATCCTATCAGTTACCATCAGATAAGTCCAGGCTTTTCCTTTAATCTCCCCACCCTCATCTTCCAAATAATTCTGTCTTCTTTTTTTATTCATAATGTATTTCTTAATACTAAAAGACTCTATGTTAAAAATTATGTCTTGTTGGATTCAGATTTCTATGGCACTTGTCTTATTTTAAATAAGAGTATTCACACTTCAAATTATACTCCAAGTATAATTTGAAAAGGCTTTTTTATTAATTTTTTTAACATAAAGACTTATTCATGAGGGACTGAAAGCAAAATAATTTATCATAACATTTATTCACAATGTTTCTTCTCTTCTGACAGCAGAAATAAGAGTTATATTAAACAAGACAGTAAGAACTCTCAGTATTACAGAAATATAAGCATTAGTATACAATTTCAGGTAACGGGATGAGGTAAGGCCATTTTGTCCACTAATATATTTTATCCTTGGAAACAGCCACATGAGTCAACATGGAATTGGAGAAAGCAAAGGTAATTTAATTCCGTGTGCCCTACTGAACACTGTGCACTTAGCACTAAAAGAAGAGGCACAATATTAAATATACACAAAATTCTCATTTCTATGGTCTTAGATATAAAGTAGATTGGAGCAAAAGAGAATGAAAGGTGGAAACCTAGTCCCTAGTGACATGGAAACCCCAAGCACAAATGTCCCCTCTTGGCAGGGACAAGTGAGCAGATGGCCACAGAGAGAGTCATGCAACGTCCAGAAGACTCTGGGATCTTTAGAGCTAGCTTTGGTTCTGGCATGGTTTCAGGAGGGAAAAAATGAACAGGCATGTCTAAACTCAACCCTCCCTGACCCCACTGCGATCTGTGGCCAGGCTCTGGGAAGTCAAGGCGTGCACAGAGCGGAAAGAGGAAAAGAAATGGGAGACCAGGCCGGGCGCGGTGGCTCACGCCTATAATCCCAGCACTTTGGGAGGCCAAGGCGGGCGGATCACGAGGTCAGGAGATCGAGCCCATCCTGGCGAACACGGTGAAACCCCGTCTCTACTAAAAATACAAAAAATTAGCCGGGCGTGAGGGTGCCCGTAGTCCCAGCTACTCGGGAGGCTGAGGCAGGAGAATGGCTTGAACCCGGGAGGTGGAGGTTGCAGTGAGCCGAGATCGCGCCACTGCACTCTAGCCTGGGCGACAGAGACAGACTCAGTCTCAAAAAAGAAAAAAAAAAAGGGAAAGAGGACAAAGTGGTACAGGCAATACAGGAAATGAGCAAAGAGTAGGAAAAACAGTTAGGGTCCCCACGGGAACTCTGTGCCCACTTCCAGCATGTGAGAATCAAAGGAAAACAAAACCTGGCTTCCCTACATCACCACCAGCAGCTCCAGCTTCAAGTCATTCAAGAAAATTAAGGTCCGTCCACAAAACTGGATTAGAAAGAAAGGAAAAGGAAGAAAAGAGAAGGGAAGAGTAAAGGGGAAGCTCACAGCTCAAAATATCTAAAACCTAGAAAGTAGTCTTGGTTCACATAGGGAGTAAAACTGAAAAGAAGGTTCACTTAATCCCAGAGCTGCCGAGACCTGTAGTTTGTAAATGCCTGCTTCTTTTTGTAATTGCGTCGCTATTGTTTCAGCAGTGGAACACTTCTATTTTTTTCCAAACAAAATGTTACATGGAAGGCCAACATAATAAACATGATAAAATGACTGTCATCCCTCTGATCAGAAAAGTCCTTCTCCAGCAGTCCCTGTAGATCTGGGGTGCAGAGTTTGAAAATCTAAGGAACAGACTGTGATTTAGGAGGCAAGAACCCAGCCCAACCTGGAAGAGACCAGCCTAATGAGCAACAAAGCCCTACCAGCACTTGAAGTAAGAGACAGCAAAAGGCCCAGCACTACTGAAATGTAAGCCTGCAAGACCCCTGTCACAGAAGAGAAGAGGTATGTGCATATTCATGCTCATTCTCATCCTCTTCTTTCATTCAACCCGCTTTTCCCACCCCACCCCACCCCCGCACACACACACCACACACGCACACACACCTGACACAGAGTCACGCGCATCTAGCTAGCAGCCGTGCACACTCACTGACCAGGGCTGGTAACTCCTCAATATTTGGTAGTGCTATTTCATAGTGATCTGGGAATATAACAAGTTTGGCTTCATCTTCATATTCATAATCGTCGCTATTTAAATCGTCATCAGTATCTAGATCTGAGGAGAAAACAAAAACAAAGAACAAGAAGTGAGGAAAATAACATCCCACACTATGGCAGCACTCACTGGGAAAGCCAGAAATCCAAGGCGATGAAATACCAAGGGTGTGACATTTACAATTTTCTCCTCTGACAGGACGGTCCATCTGTCCTAAACCACCAATAGCAGGCCTTTCCATCAAGTTATGAATACTTATATATCAGTGACTGATGTATGAAGAAGACTGAGCCATTTCATAAAGCTTTACAGTTAAATTAGACAAATGTGCAAGACACTCAATTCTCAGACAGAATTTCTCAGAAAGAAAATTTCTTAGAAACTCTTAAAAAGGAAAGGACTGGTAACTACGATGTGTCAGGTACCTGGTTCCTGATTTCATAACAATAGGCTGGAATGGTGGTTTGGTTTCTTAAGGGTTTTTTGCAACATCATAATATGAAAGTATGGTTTTAGAGTTGATAAACTTAGGTTCAAGACTAGCTCCAAAACTTCATGTTACTTTGGGCAAGTCATAAACTCTCTAAGCCTTAGTTTTCTCATTTGTAGCATGAAGATAATAGTATATATCTCACACAGTTTATACAGGAGATAAAGAGAACAAGAGGCTTGGCATATAATAGGTAATCAATAAATGTTAGCTATTATTTAAAAACAAAATCTCCCTCTTGCTCTCTCCCTCTCCCTCTCTTAAAGTGTTGAGTTACTGCATAGTAGACCTGAGGGGGAAGCCCTATAATGTGAGTAGTCATATTGTCCTCGGCTGTGGAGAATTCTCACTAAGGAAGATGAGCTCCTCTAGCCTGTTATCTACCAAGTCGTCCCTTCTTTGCTTGGTTCATCTCTGGTAAAGGTTAAACGAAGGTTCAAGGAAATGTCTTGTCACAATATTTATATGGACATTTCAGCATCACTTTCACAGGGATGCCAGCATCCCAGATCATGTTTGTATATTTAGGCTTGGAACTATGGTGACAAAGAGCTAGCGAGTTATATTCCACTCACATGCACACAAAGCTACACACAAATAGGCACAAGAACACACACAGAAACGTGGGCTCTCTAGACAGAAGACAGTTATTTTACTTAATGAAGCAGCCACCTGAGAAACAAAGGGTCTAGATTCTGTTATTACCTTGTAAAACCTAGTATATATTTGTGTACAGTTCTGCTCTTAAATTCCCAAAGCGATCGCTTCTCAGCCTTTTGGCTAAGATCAAGTGTAAATTCCCAAAGGTAGGGCAGTTTGTAGTGATAAATAAATAAATAAATAAAGAAGATACAGCCAAAATGCAGTCTAAGCTTTATTTTTTTTTTTCTTTTGAGGCAGGGTCTCACTCTGTTGCCCAGACTTGAGTGCAGTGGTGTGATCATAGCTCACTACAACATCAAACTCCCAGGCTCTAGCTATCCTCCTACCTCACCCTCCTGAGAAGCTAGGACTGCCAGGCCTGGCTAATTTTTTTATCTTTTGTAAAAACAGGGTCTCACTATGTGGCTCAGGCTGGTCTCAAATACCTTGCCTCAAGCGATCTTCCCACCTCAGCATCTCAGAATGCTGGGATTAAAGGCATGAATCACCACACCTGGTCTAAATGTTTTAATAAAAGATTTTAAATTATAAGAGTCAGAAATACCAAAATAAAGAACCAAACCAAACAACATTACTAGATAGCCATAGAAGTGAGGTTCATTTGACAAAATGTAATTTTAAAGAAGTTTAATTAGTAAGTAAAGGCATTAATGTAAAGCATATAATTCAAAGAAAGATTCTATATGTTATAAAAATGTGAATGCTTCAATATTTATAATTTTTTTAAGTTGGAATCCAAATGTTTAATTTAAAAAATGGTATTCAACCTTGCCAGGCATGGTGGCTCACACCTATACTCCCAGCACTTTGGGAGGCTGAGGCAGGTGGAGCACAAGGTCAGGAGTTCAAGACCAGCCTGGCCAAGATGGTGAAACCCTGTCTCTACTAAAAATACAGAAATTAGCTAGGCATAGTGGCATGCACCTGTAATCCCAGCTACTTAGGAGGCTGAGGCAGAGAATTGCTTAAACCCAGGAGGCAGAGGTTGCAGTGAGCCGAGATCACACCACTGCACTCCAGCCTGAGCAACAGAGCAAGGCTCCATCTCAGAAAAAAAAAAAAAAAATAGTATTCAACCCAATAGAATATTATTTAAATCATAGTTATTTAGACTATTTAGGAACAGAAATGTTTATGCTATGTTAATGCTAAAAACACAAAATTCATCTTCACTGTAAAGACTTTATATTATGCTTATAGACAAAAATGAGAAAGAAAACTAAACAAATGGAAATCATGAATGAGTGAACTTTATTCTTAAATTTTTCTTTATTATAATATTTATATTTAACAATTTTAAGTAACCAAAGCATAAATCTTGTGTTTTTGTATGCAGATTCAGCTCATACAAGATATTATCTGTCTCTTTTCCACAGAAAACATGCTGATTTAAAGTTAATTCAAATCTTACCTAGCATAAATAAAATACAAAAAAAAAAAAAAATCCCACTCTGACATTTGCTAGTTATGTAACCCTAGAAAATTTATTTCTAAGTTCTTTTTTCTTGTGAGTAAGCCATAGATATTATCTACCCCACAAGACCGTTAAGTGGATTAAACAAGATGAAGTTTTAAGGCACCCTAGTGTAGGATCTGGTAGGTACTAGGGGACTCTGCAAACAATAGCCACCATCACCATCATCATCATCACCTTCTCCCTCTTCCTGGCAATTAACACAACCAAAAGTGCCTTCCCTTCCCTTTGGCTGCAAGACCATGGTACCATGTGGGGATCTTCTGTGAAATCTGAGTATTCAGAAATTATCACCTTCAAATTCTTCTAGACTGTAAACTCAGAGAGCAGGAAATGAGTCTTAACTCCCATGTTCCTAGCCCCTGTACTGTGCCCGGCACACACCACACACTCTGTAAATGTCTGTGAATGGGGACTTCAGGAAGCCAACAACATCAACATGCAAAACAAGAATATCAAAAGAGTTGCGTTGTATTTTAATTGGCGACTCACGTGTTTAAGAGGAAGCAAGACTGCTGTCATGCAGAAAAGCAGAACTTTGTTGTGCTTCTTTACATTTATTTTAAGTTTACTTTTATTTTTAATTCAATGGAATGGAAGAGGGGCATGATCTTTCCCAAAAAACTTAATCCAAATTAGGGAAAAGTCCATCAGAGGTAACCTACATTCTGATTTTAGGGGACAAATCTAAGGTTCCTCCTGAACACATATGATCCCACAGCCCTAAATATAACCTAAAATTTCCACATGTCTCTAAATCATGTCTCATCACCCCAAAAATATTTAGTTGAAGAAGCTACAGAGTAACCATACTCTAAGGACCCCCAACTTCTCCCCAGCTGCTACTTTCTATTGTGGCTATTAAGTGGCAATACCCAAGAGAGATTTCTCTAAGTTTAAGAATAAATAAATAAATACAAACTCTTGTCTGATGATCCTCCCAGATCCCTGGGAGAAGTGGCTGGGACTACCCATTTCCCCAAGATGCCTAAGCTATGAAGGAGAACAGTGAGAGAATGAATGGGTCCCTACACAGAGCTAGGGCTCTGATTCCCAGGTCAGAGTTCACTCAGGCTGACCATATTAACTTTAATTGTTGGAGGCAAGCGATCTGTCCAAGGGCTGCAAAATCTAACCAACTATTTACCTTCAAAAGAAGGTACAGGGGAAAAGCCTCTTGAGTACAGAACATATTATTTTACCCACTTCAGAAAAAAATTGCAAAATGTAATTTATTAGAACCTTCTGGTTATCAGAGGCGCAGGTGAACTTTCTGAACAGGCCCATTAGTGAAACTTTGCACAAATTTTCTGTTTTCAATCTATTCCTCAGCAACTTTAAACACCTGGTCTAAGCCAAAAAAAGTGGAATTCTCTGAGGTGAAGTGGTGACTCCTCGGAAGTTCCACTCTTCAGACACAGAGAACTGAACTCCTTTACTGCTATTTGTGAAAACTGGGGCAGACTCCATAAAGATGTAAATATTTAACACAGTTTTTTATGATGTATCAAACATATGGTATTTTTTAAATTAAATGCATTACCAGTTATTTACATATCTATGCATATTTGTAGCTTTATCGGAAATAAATAAATATATATATGGAATTAGGCCAGAATCACATTGTGAGCCTTAGGGTATTTCTTGAAGGATCCAGAACTCCCTTACCTCCTCGCTTCTCTACTCTCTCTTTCATATCAGCTTATACCCCAAACTCATCAACTTTCATATTTTTCCAAGTTATCTTTCTACAACACAACCTAATAGTGTCCCTTTCTAGCTGAACTCTCCCGGTTCACAGCACCCCTAAGCATCCCAGCAATTTTTTCACAGCAACCTTAAGCCAAAAGAAATGCCTGGCCAGGTACAGTGGCTCACGCCCATAATCCCAGCACTTTAGGAGGCCGAGGTGGGCGGATCACAAGGTCAGGAGTTTGAGGCCAGCCTGGCCAACATGGCAAAACCCCGTCTCTACTAAAAATCCAAAAAAATTAGCCAGGTGTGGTGGCGGGTGCCCATAATCCCAGCTACTCGGGAGGCTGAGGGAGGAGAATCGCTTTTACCCAGGAGGCAGAGGTTGCAGTGAGCCGAGATCATGCCATTTCACTCCAGCCTGGGCAACAAGAGCAAGACTCCATCTCAAAAAAAGAAAAGAAATGCCTTATGGTTCTGTTTATTTAGTAGTTAGATCAAAAAAACTTGGTATTTATGTTCTAGCAACTAATTAACCATTTGCAAAATATATATATAAGTTGAAAGAAAAAATACTTCACTCTGAAATAGCCCCAGTCCTTCACTAATGGGATGTGTGCCGCTGTTGGGCAATGCACAATGTCCCTGAATCGGATCAGCCCCTGCCACCCTTATTTTCCATTTCACATTGATTTTCACGTGGTGCTTGACTTTTACCACAGAAACCACTAAAAAATCCCA